TCCGACCAATTTTTCAGATCGCAAGCAAAGCCCAAGTAAAGCCACCAGCTATGATTCACATCCCCTTTTTCATTCTCTGTCTCTGATTGGTTGAACCAGAGAAGTAAGCATTCACAGCATGGGTAGCCACCTGAATCTCTGGGTACGTGAACCCATCCCCAATAGCAACCCCACCTAAATTCACACCAGTTATGTAAAGAGGCCGTGATTTAAACACAGGGTCAAGCTCAATAAACTTGGTAATTGCAACAAAGAGGTCTCTGGCAACTGAAATCTGGTCTCTTGGGATCTCTTCTGGCTTCGCAGCTATACTGAATCGAGTTCCAATTGGATTGTCAAGAAACACCAGGCCAAAGATTCGGTTCCAGGAACCAGAATTGGGAGGACACGCCATGGGCCGAGCTCGAAGAAGTTGCCGATCATGGAGGAGTAACCGGCGCCGCCTTGGAGCCAAATAGTTGTGGGGTTTGAGAGAGATCGGGTGAGATTATGAGGTTCTGAGCTTCATGAAAAGTGTAGAAAATTGTAGAGCCTGTGGTGGGATTGACTGGGAGGTAGCCTGATTTGGTGGGATGAGCTTGTTTGGGGAACAGAGGTTGTGATGATGATGATGAGGAAAAATAAAAAGAATTAAGAGATCTGGGTTTCATCAGAGAATTCAGCTGGTACTTTTAAAGCGAATTGGTGAGCTACACTTATTAGCTTTACAACATACCTCAATTTTATCTCTTGCAATCCTGCCAAAACAAAGCTTAATCCTGCCAAAACAAAGCTTACTGTAACGGCACTGCACACAACCAGATCAACTAGCTTGTTTCCGCATATCCCTTATCTGCATATTCACATTGAGTGCCGCAATATATAACTGGCGGCTAACAAGTTTCAATTTCACTCATAAACATAAACACAAAAACATCTAGCAGTCTTCAATATTATATGAGCAATATGTCCCAAAGCTTAAGCTCATCTTCACCCTTTTCTTCCTTCAAGCCCTCCTCACATCCCCCACATGAATCCAAGCAGCCCCAGCAAACTCAGATCTTCAGAGAATACATAGGAGCTAAATTCAAGAATGTCAAGTTTTCTGATGTCCCCATTAACCCAAATGTTGAATTCCACTTCATTCTCTCATTTGCCATAGACTATGACACTTCCTCCTCTCCCACCAACAGAAAATTCAATGTCTTCTGGGACTCTGATAATCTTAGTCCTTCCCAAGTTTCCTCCATCAAAAATCAGCATTCAAATGTCAGAGTGGCCTTGAGCCTAGGAGGAGACACTGTGAATAGTGTCTATGCTTACTTCAAGCCTTCCTCAATGGACTCATGGGTTTCCAATGCTGTTTCTTCTCTCACAAGCATCATCCAGCAGTACAATCTGGATGGAATTGACATTAATTACGAGCACTTCAGCGCAGATCCCGATACCTTTTCAGAGTGCATTGGGAGGCTTATAACAACCCTCAAGAACAATGGAGTGATATCATTTGCTTCCATTGCTCCCTTTGATGATGACCAAGTTCAGAGCCACTACTTGGCCTTGTGGAAGAGCTATGGTGACTTGATAGACTATGTGAATTTCCAGTTTTACGGATACGATCAGGGCACCACAGTGTCTCAGTTCATCAATTACTTCAAGACACAAAGCTCCAATTACAATGGTGGGAAGGTCTTGGCAAGCTTTATCAGTGATGGGAGTCGTGGACTGTCTCCTGAGAATGGTTTTTTCACTGCCTGTGACAGGCTCAAGAGTGAGCAACAACTTCATGGTATCTTTGTTTGGTCTGCAGATGATTCCAAGGAAATCGGTTTCCGCTATGAAGAGCAATCACAAAATCTCTTAGCAACCCCCCACTAGTACTATATTATCTTATATATTTAGCTTCTATATGAATATGATTAAGAAGTAGGCTCTGGAATTGGATTCCTGGATATTGTAATGCTTGTTGTACTTCAATTTATCTGGAGTTATATAGATATTTCGGATTGTGTTGTTTGAGTATGTAAGATCGCTATATTATATAAAATCTGCTGATTTTCACAAATGGTTTTCTTGTTTTACATGCTAGCTACTCTAGCACTGGCCTCTACATAATTCAACTTTCTTCTTTCATATATACTTACACCAAGAACAGGGTTCTGAATGCTCACTTTCCTTCTACCTCCTTTTTTTTATTTATTCAACAACTTGTTGGAATTTTGCTTGCCAAAGTGATGCCAAGAAGGTGGAATTCGGACGTTGCTTGGACTGAGACTGAAGACTGAAGACTGCATGACCCGACCCAGTTTTGGCCCAAGATAGCAGAAAAAACTTCTCTTTTGAGACTTCGAATTAGAATTTGCAGAGAGTTGAAGGAGACTTTGATTCCATATCTTAGCTTTAACATATTCATCTGATGTGCATCTTTTTAGTGTTTTTTGCTTTGATTTCTCACTGATTATTTTTGGGAAGTTGAAATTTGTGACCCTTGATTTCTTGATGGGTTATACATCAAAGTTATTATATCTAGTCTAATATGAATTAACAGAAAAGATTTTTATAACATGAATAGGGCATCAACGTATGTTTACATCTAGCTTGACTCTTATCAATTTCAACATTTTGCTCTTCACAACTCAATGCTCTGTTATGTGTTTTTGTGGAGTTAATGACTATGGGCAAAGTGAGACTGAGAATATTTTGTGTGTTTAAATAGAAAATCTCTTTAATTATATGTTCTGCTATTTGTGTAGAAAGGGCTTCTTTATGAATGACTGATATGTGTCTGATACGTGATATTTTTAATGTAACTGCCCTCATATGCGGGGCAAACAACTTGGAAAGAATGACTATCCTCCAATTTTCTTAGAAAAATCATCAACAGGAAAACAACTTGGAACTTGGACTTTGATTGACATGGAAGTAGCGCTGGTATCACATATCAGCTGCCTTAAAAGTCAAGAATGAAATTTCAGTATAAGAAGATCTTCGCTTGAGGACGAAACTACTTCGGAGTCAATGCAGACTTTAAAAATACACAAGGTCTTCGCTTTGGTTTCATTTGTGGAAATCTCTCTTCGACGTACAGAGGGGTTTGGATAATTTGTGTTGTGCGGTTATGGCGGCTTATAAACCTGTCATTTTGTGCGACAGTGGGGGCCCTAGAGACAGTACTAAGAACGGTCAAACATGATTTCTTTGTGATTGTAACCCAAGAGAGTTCTCCCTTGGCTATGGCTAAACTTATCCAAGACCCGCAGATTGCGCAATCCTGCCAAGACAAAGCTTACTGAAACGGCATGGCACACAACCAGATCAACTAGCTTGTTTCCACATATCCCTTACCTGCATATTCACATTGAGGGCCACACTATATAACTGGCGGTTAACAAGTTTCAATTTCACTCATAAACATAAACACAAAAACATCTAGCAGTCTTCAATATTATATGAGCAATATGGCACTCCCAAAGCTTAAGCTCATCTTCACCCTTTTCTTTCTTCAAACCCTCCTCACATCCCCTACATCAATCCAAGCAGCCCCAGCAAACTCAAATCTCTTCAGAGAATACATAGGAGCTAAATTCAAGAATGTCAAGTTTTCTGATGTCCCCATTAACCCAAATGTTGAATTCCATTTCATTCTCTCATTTGCCATAGACTATGACACCTCCTCCTCTCCCACCAATGGAAATTTCAATGTCTTCTGGGACTCCGATAATCTTAGCCCTTCCCAAGTTTCCTCCATCAAAAATCAGCATTCAAATGTCAAAGTGGCCTTTAGCCTAGGAGGAGACACTGTGAATGGTGTCCCTGCTGAATTCAAGCCTTCCTCAATTGACTCATGGGTTTCCAATGCTGTTTCTTCTCTCACAAGCATCATCCAGCAGTACAATTTGGATGGAATTGACATTGATTACGAGCACTTCAGCGCAGATCCCGATACCTTTGCAGAGTGCATTGGGAGGCTTATAACAACCCTCAAGAACAATGGAGTGATATCATTTGCTTCCATTGCTCCCTTTGATGATGACCAAGTTCAGAGCCACTACTTGGCCTTGTGGAAGAGCTATGGTGACTTGATAGACTATGTGAATTTCCAGTTTTACGGATACGATCAGGGCACCACAGTGTCTCAGTTCATCAATTACTTCAAGACACAAAGCTCCAATTACAATGGTGGGAAGGTCTTGGCAAGCTTTATCAGTGATGGGAGTCGTGGACTGTCTCCTGAGAATGGTTTTTTCACTGCCTGTGACAGGCTCAAGAGTGAGCAACAACTTCATGGTATCTTTGTTTGGTCTGCAGATGATTCCAAGGAAATCGGTTTCCGCTATGAAGAGCAATCACAAAATCTCTTAGCAACCCCCCACTAGTACTATATTATCTTATATATTTAGCTTCTATATGAATATGATTAAGAAGTAGGCTCTGGAATTGGATTCCTGGATATTGTAATGCTTGTTGTACTTCAATTTATCTGGAGTTATATAGATATTTCGGATTGTGTTGTTTGAGTATGTAAGATCGCTATATTATATAAAATCTGCTGATTTTCACAAATGGTTTTCTTGTTTTACATGCTAGCTACTCTAGCACTGGCCTCTACATAATTCAACTTTCTTCTTTCATATATACTTACACCAAGAACAGGGTTCTGAATGCTCACTTTCCTTCTACCTCCTTTTTTTTATTTATTCAACAACTTGTTGGAATTTTGCTTGCCAAAGTGATGCCAAGAAGGTGGAATTCGGACGTTGCTTGGACTGAGACTGAAGACTGAAGACTGCATGACCTTGCAGCATAAGTTGTTCAATTGAATCAACTCAGAGATTGATATATTATTTTGTTGGGTTTAATATATCCATCAATTTACTGAGTGTGTGGCTATTGGTGAAAGGATTTCTAAATTAATTATGTTTTATGCCTTTCATCTTTTGGTCCTGTAGTTAACAGATTCTAGTGACTTGCGAATGAAGAGAAGATGCTACGAAGGTGCTACGAAGGTTCTGCTTCTCCTGCAGTTTAACATGAATAGGACGTCAATGTAATGTTGGATCAGGCTTGACTGTTGAAATTGGTTTGTTTATTTAAAAAAATATATAAATTCAATAATTCAATAATTGCCTTAAATTTTTATTAATATGGGCTGATTTTTTCAACTGATGCATTTGCTGTCTTTAAAGCCCACCAACATTTCCTTTGTGATATATCTTGTATATATATATATGATATAGCTAGGACAGAAAAAAAGACACAGACGATAGCTGCTGCCTTCTTCCTCTTCATATATTTCTCTTATTTTCTAAACTAAGTTTTTTGAGCAACATAGAAAGGTGTTTGTATTCAGGTCCTTCCTCAATGCAAGGAAGAACCTAGACCGAGGAGAATATGGGGCTGTTTTATCCTGGGGACGTAGTGGCCTTTTCTGAACTGCTTTCACAAATTGGGCAGAGCCGCGAAACGTCTTAAAGATAGCAACTTAGTACGCGACTCATCCCAAGAATCGTTCACAGCTTCACAACGAATTTTTCCGGGTAATATTGTTCTTTTAAATTTCTCTGCTTCAACAATTTTAAGACGATTCATCTGCCATGGAAGCTGTAAACAATTCATTCACCCCTGACCTAAACCTTCCAAATTTGAGGGTCTTCATTTCAAACGATGGAGGCAAAAGATGTTGTTTTACCTTACAACGAAAAAATTAGCTTTTGTCTGCACATCTATTAAACCATATGCCAATGACAATCCCACTCTTGAACAAACTTGGGCCTTGTAGACATGGATTGAAAATGATTTCTTGCGCAAGAACTATATTTTGAATGGTTTATATCTGATGATCTTTATGATTATTATTCTTCTTATAATAGTGCTAAAGAATTGTGGGATACGCTTTAGAAAAAATATGATACAGAAGAAGCTGGTGCAAAGAAATTTGCTATCAGTCGCTATTTGAAGTTTCAAATGGTGCATGAAAACTTAGTAGAAGCACAATCTCATGAACTACAGAAAATTGCACATGAAATTTAGATCCCTCAACACAATAACCAACAAGTTGAACCATATTAAAATGGTGAATCCTTCCAATAGTAGCTACCTCACTTATGAAATCTTGTCCATTAGCTTTAGGCTTCTCCAACATTTTAACTCCTACAAATCGACCACTGCGTAACTTTCCTTTAAATACAGAGCCATAACCTACTTCACCCAACTTCTCATTGAATCTACTGGTCATCTTTTTAATATCTGAGTAAGAGTACCTTATCGGAATGAGGTTGTTATCACTTTGCAGGAAATCTTCTTTGTTGCTATACATTGACAAATGCATTCTTTGGCGTTTGTAGATTAGAAGAGCAGCCAGAAATGGAACCCCAAATATAGATCTTATTAGGCAAAATTCTCCTGCAAAGCAACATCACAAAAAGAATCACAAATGACATGCTTTATGTGCGTCATAACCTTACTCTTTGCTTCCATTTGTTTTTTCTACTGACTGATAGGAAATACAATTCTGCACTAAAGGAGTATGCAAACTCTTACCTAATCTCAGCCAATTGGAAATACCTGCAAGAGATACAAGAAAAAGTGACTAAAATCAAAGGCTTGACATAAGTTTGAAATTTCGAAGCACAGATATATATATATACTCTGCCCTGCTTAATGGTTGACTAAGACTAGTTAGCAGACTATATCATATGAGGAAGGTGAAGAAGAGAGAAGGGAATTTAAATTAGCCAGACAAAATACAAGTAATAAAACTATTTAAAATTTTTAGAATTTTTATTTTCAAAGAATATTTGACGTATTTTCTCCATGTGTCTTTCTCATTTTCACCCTGTATCGCCTTATTTCAAGTAAAACTTATAAACAAAACAAATGATCGAAAATTAGAAATAAAGCGTAACAAAAAGTCATAGATGATAGATTTAAACAAGTGACATTTGGAGAAATTCAGAAAGTTTGAGTAAGAAATCGTAGACTTGGAATATAGCAAGTAATTCACAAACCTGTAGCTGGTCTTGTGAAAGCTGAACCAACAACTAAATAATTTCCTGTTAGCGCCTAAAACCTTCTAATAGAACAACAACCTCCTAACTAATCTGCAAGCACATCAGCAACTGATAACTAATTGCCACATCAGCAGATTCCTAACAAAAGTAATATAGAATCTGTGAAGTCTCACTTGTTTTGCTAACCTAAATTTATAATGAGATTTAAATACGGAATTTAAATTTTATTTCTCTTAGAGAAATCAAATATACAATTGAGTGATGGTGGCCGTCGTTGTGATAACAGGAGTGATGCATGTAGTAGCCGTGGAGCACAAAACCACATTTTCGTATGCAGAATAGGGATGTAAATGTGGTTTACTTGTACATTGTGGATGCTCTATTATTAGAGTAATGCTATTTAGACACACAACATTAACCACCTTAGCTGACCACCTTATGTGGCAACTGATATGTCATGCCATGTTTTTACTCTATCTATTTCTCACAAGTGCACGAACCAATTATAGTATAGGAATGCAAGCACGAGGTCGTTCCACAGAGACTTGGATGAAAAACACTTATTACTACTACTTAAACTCACAAGTAATCCTAAGACTAAAAAGAATTGAAATGAGGTTGTGTTGAGTTTGTTTGGAGTAAAAACTACAAAAAGGGAAAGCAAATAGCAAGTGACTGAAAACTACTAAAAGGGGAAGCAAATAGCAAGTGACCAGCAAGTAGATGTTTAGAAAATTTAGAGACAAAGGAGACAAGCACTAGGGTTTCAACTTCACCATGACAATCCAATTTCAAGCAACAAGTTAACAAGCATTTAAGTTAATCAATTCAATTTCTGGAGTTCGTTCTTTCTTATGTATGATTATCCATATGGTGTTTGGTTTTAATCAAGTACTCAGAAAACACAACTTAGCTATGGTGTTTAGTCTATCTGAATCCATTAAGCTTAAGAAGAACACAAAGGAACCAAGTAAACATTTAAACATGGTGTTTGTCCTAAATGCATTACCCACTCATTCACTAATCGGTTGAAGAGTCATATGGTGTTTATGTAAACTTGAACTAGATAACCAACATGCATGTGTTCATAGTGGCCAGTTATTTAAACATGCATAAAGATTCAACGAAGAACAAGTGAATGAGACCATAAAATTAGAAGTAATCAACAAGGGTAACATTAACTTGAAAACATGAAATTGTCTTGTCAGGTTACCTTGAAACCCTAGCTATGGTAATTAGTTACACTCCATTAATGGAAAATGCATTTGAATCATAATAAACATGGAGAGAGTAAGAAAACCCGTGATGAACGAATTATGTTGTTGTAGAGCTTCTCACAGCTTCCACCATATATGCTGCAGCAAGAGATGAAGAGTGGTGTAGATGGTATGGATTGTGTTTGGGGAATGATGGGAGTGTGGAGGATGGAGTGATCTGTGGGAGAAGTGTATGAGGCTGTGGTTGATGAATGTTTGAGAGGGGATTGTGCTGGGATGAGTGGTCTGCTAGGAATTGGAAGAGAGGGATTGTGAATCCCAGGATATGATTGATGAAAGTGTTTGGAATGGAAGTGGTATTTATAGGGAGAGGGAAGTGAGAAATCTGAATTGAATATGGCTAATGCATACAACACTTGTATTAGAAAATCAGAATTGGTTGCTGCACTTCACCAATAAATCCCACCAACAGCCATAGCTCATCTTCATGTCAGCATGACCAAGCTTCCATCCAGAAACCAATAGCTCATGCCTAGCGCACCATGACCAAGCATGCAATGAGCTCATCTGCAAGTCAGCATGATGAACAACTTCTTGGGCTTACGAATTGGGCTTGGCTGAATCAAATGATGACTTTAAGATGTCCATTTTGAAGTTTAGAATGTCTATGATCCAACCACACAAGCATTGGCCCAATCCAAGCTCAGATGAAGAAGATAAGTCCGAAATGAATTCCTAACTCAGTCTCCAGTTTTTGCACGTTTTTGCACCATTTTGCTTCAAATGCCTCAAGTGGTACCTAGAGCTCATTGAACTGAATAACAAACACAAAATGGATTAAAAGCACAAGTTTTACCTAAAAACATAACCAAACAATAGGGTAGAGTGTTACAAAATGATACAGAATTATACATTGATCACATGTCAATTAATGAATGTTGCCATGAGGCCACTTACTAGGGATGCTTGGGTTTTTTAATTGACATGGTGACATTCATTAATTGACATGACATGACACAGCAGTTGCCACATAAGGTGGTCAGCTAAAGTGGTCAATGTTGTGTGTCTAAATAGCATTACTCCTATTATTAATATACTTCAAGTTAAAAATGAATTAGACAAAAATATTACTTTGTAATCAGAATGAACTCTTCTAGTGTTGGAAAATGTCACAACTTTGAATTTCGTATCTCCTGTTGATAAAAAAAGATAAGGAAAAAAAATCACAAAAATATAAATAATAAAATGAGTATTTTTAATGGGACAAATAATGTTATCAAACACACAATTAAACTAACTTTACACCAATAACATTTATATTTGATATTTATGATAATATTATTCTGATATTTTTTCAGAAAATAAAGAAAAAGAATTATAAAATGCCACACAAAGACACATAGAATTTAAAGTTGATAAAGGTACTCATAAAAATTTGGAGAAGGATTATATATGTGAGCTTAATGATTTATGTTATTGATGTGAGACATAAAAATCGTGGCGTTCGAAACATAAGATAATTGTTTAAATCATAATAAAACTGAATTAAAGTTCATCACCTAGCTGACGGAGTACATGTTAGCTCTGTGTTCGAACACGTTGGATTTGAATTACCATGAAGATTGTCTCTGGGCATTTCTTGTGGACATAAAAAAAGCTTGGGAGGGGGTTGTAGGCATTCAACCTCTCCCTCAAACTCCTTATTCACCCGATTTTTTAGATTTTTTCTTGCAATCATATGATGGCTAATTCCAAATGCAACACATAATTTCTAAATTCTAATATGAGAGAGAGAGAGGTGTGGTGGAGGCGCAGAGACGCACAACACGCCTTTTGCCTTGCCAAAGAGTTAAAATGTTTTTTTTTTTTTTTGGTGGATGAAAGAGTCAAGAAGAAGTGAATTTGGGGCCAAATGAAAGAAGAGCGATTTGGGAATAGCAAGGAGAGCACGCGGCACGCATGCACGACTCACGAGTATTTTTTTTATTTGTTAATGCTTGGAACAAAAATCTGCACGTTAGGAACAAAAATCTGCACGTTTTGGAATAAAAATTTGCTTAGAACAAAAAGTAGCTAAAAATATAGGATTTTTATCACAAATGGTCCCTGAGGTTGATGGAATTATCGCCTTTTGCCTTGTTGTTAACTTCTATCAATTTTCTGTTAAAATGCTGACTTGGTACATACATGGGCCACACATCCAATAATATAGAGCCACGTGGCATTAAATAATATATTTTTAAAAAATTAATTTTTTGTAGAAAAAATAAGAAGATTAAAACTTAAATTTTTTACTTTTATTTTAAAAATGAAGTTGTTTCTCGCTTCCTACCTCTCTCCTCCTTCCAACCTGCCAACCCACCTCCCTCACCCCTCTCTGTCTCTGTCTCTGTCTCTCTCCCCTCAGATTCGTTGGTGATGGTCAGGCAAGCAAAGAACTGGGTCGGAATCTGGCTGGGTAAATGGATCTGATGCAAGGGCATAATTGGTTTCGATAGTTGGGGAAGGCATGGGGTCCAAATCTGGAATGGGTATGATGGGCAAAGGGTTTAGTTGGTCTGAAGGGGTGGAGGAAGTGGCTGTGAATCATGATGGTTGGATTTTTTTTTCCTTTTTTAATCAGAGCTGCTGATAGAGATGAAGCTTTTGTGATTACAGTGTACATGCTTTAAAATTTGAAATTGTGTTGGTTTCTTCTTGTTGTTGTTTTTTTAATTGAGTGGGAAGAGGGAGGGATTTCTTAGTGGGCAAGGAAAAACAAAGGGAGTGGGAGAGGGCGAGAGAGAGAGAGAGAGAGAGAGGAGAGGGAGAAATGGTAGAGGGGTAGACGCAGGGGAGGGCGGAGGGCCAGAAAGGGATGGCTGAAGGTTTTTTTTTATAATTTAAGTTTTAATCTTTTTTTTAAAGTGTAATTTTATTTTAAATATATTATTTAATACCATGTGGCTCTATATTATTGGATGTGTGGCCCATGCATGTGTCACATCAGCATTTTAATAGAAAATTTGGTTAAAATTGACGGTAGGGACCATTTTGATGTGTGGAACCTTAGGGACCATTAAT